TACTAACAATATTACTATTCTTCAAAAGTTGAAGGGCTTGTAATTGACAGGGCAGTCAAGGCAACCGGGCCAAGTGTGGGTGAAGTTGAGCCCAACCACTTTCCACGCCGCCCCCCGCCCCCCCGCCTTTGTAGGCACTTCATTCCATGATGTCCCCAGGTCCTCATGCTGCCTCTTTATTAGACAAATCTCCCCTCCCCCAAAAAATTCAGGAAGAAAAGTGGTGGAGTAAGGGGAGTATGGATTTCTGTTTTGATTTTTATTAATTCGTTTTGTTTACCATTACAGGCCACAAACTCTTGGGCAAGTTACATGGCTTTTCAGAGCCTCCGTTTCCTTTTCTATAAATAGAGAGAACTGCCATGAAGATTCAGAGAAAATGCGCACAAGGTATGTAGCTCAGGGTCTGACTCTGAGTAGGAATCCACCCAGCGTCCCCCTCCCTTCCCCACCTGGGGTCTGCATCTGTCTGCACCCAGGAATACCTCAGGGTCTTGACTCACCCTTCTGCAATTCTCGTCAAAATTTGTCCTGGTATCATTATGTCAGGACTTCACTGCAAGGCTGACTTGATAACCTTTGTCAAACTGATTCCAGGGAAAGCTGTGAAGGCTGAAACCATTTCAACGTGCTTACTCACAGTAAAGAGGGTTTCTGAAAATGCAGGGTCTGGAGGTGAAAGAACCCGCTCTGACACTGGGCAAGCCAGGGTGGGGGATATTTTTTTGGGGGTGACATTTATCTAGAGATCCTCAAATAAAAAACCTTTTCCTTCTTTGTCTTACAAATAAGAGAATTCCCTCCCCCGCCCCCCAATCATGTCTCCCTGGATTTCTTCTTACCTAATAATTATGGAAAAATCAGGAGTCATGGATTACCTAAACTACTTGATGTGTTAAAGTTCGAAATGCTTACAGAACGTCAGGAACAATGTCCTGAGATTTTAGTTCAATATATCTCTGGAAAGGACCTCACTTTGGAAAATAGTGGACTAGGCTGTGGACTTGATCCACTCCACAAGCCACAATGACAAAACAAGCTGACTCACTCCATTCAACTCATGAGTTAATTTGAATAGGAAACAGGTGCTAACCAACAAGAGGAAAGGCATTCAGTTCCAAGTATCTATTACTTGACCATCTTCAACCTGCTCACCACCATTGCGTTCCCTGTGCTGGCGAGTAGAAGGTGCCCGATAAGTTGAATATTAAATGTGCCTGATATTACAAAGAGCAAAATAAAACAATATGACCACAAGCAAACAGATTGGGTGGTAAGCGATGTACTCTAGGGGAAGGGTATGTTAATTTTAATAGAGAAAATTTTTTTAAAGTCTATATATACTTTGATTGATTTAAAGTTTACTGCAAACTTCTGACTAATTTGGGAGTTCCCTTTACCAGAAAACAGGCTGTCCCTAACGTAGTAAGAGTCTAGTGAAGGGAAGGGTCCCTTGGGGGTGTGCTCACTCTGTGACACGTGCATGCTGCAAGGATCTTAGCCTTGACCCCAAACCTTCTTTCATGATGAGAGAGCAGAGCTCAGAGGGGGAATGCCGATGTGAGTTTGATGACGGAATCCCCCTTCTCCCAGGTCTCAGATTCTGTCACACCTCCCTGCCTCTACAAAGAGAAGTTAGGAGCCACGCCAGGATGATCCTGAACCACACACTTCCATGACTGTTTTGACTGACTTGCTCGGTTGCACACTATGGCGAGGATAAAGCCTCGTCTTTGGAAGGCCACAGATCACACAGACAGGTGCAAGTCCCTTAGCAGCTGTGTGGGTTGAATCAAGCTTTCTAACGGGAAATCTGCATCTTATCCATGTGGCTATTTGTACATGACTCCAAATATGAAAAGTATTTGATCTGTACTTTTGCTTGCATGATGTCAAACATCCCGAATCACCAAAGCAATCATCGAGAATTACAATCAAGAGAATTACAGCCCTAGCCTGCTTGGTTCAATGGATAGAGCATTGGCCTGCGGACTGAAGGGTCCTGGGTTGGATTCTGGTCAAGGACACATGCCTGGGTTGCAGGCTCAATCCCCAGTAGGGGGTGTGCAGGAGGCAGCCAATCAATGATTCTCTCTCATCATTGATGTTTCCATCTCTCTCACCCTCTCCCTTCCTCTCTGAAATCAATAAAAAATATATTTAAGGAAAAAAGAGAATTACAAATAAATATTGCAAGGTTTGCATGGATGACTTTGGCATTTTCTTAGGTTCAGCTCAAAAGGCATTAAGTACAGTTCAGGTAACTTATGAATAATCTAGGAATGTTACTGGAATTCTGATCTAGTACATTGGAACTAACTACTTAAAAAAAACAACAACAACTGTAACAGGGTGGCTCCTGATTAATCAACACCAACTGTTCACATATTTGTAAGTCAGCTAAGCTAAAATGAGTTTAGGGAGAAGTAAATGAAGAGAATGAATAAGTTATATCGCTTCCCTCAGAAAGTCACACTGCGGCAGTGTGCTCTGTGGCTGGCACATCTGGAGGCAGAGTAACATGATTACAAGAATGAATGAATTCAGGTGCAGATCCCTGCTCTGCCTGCCTCTTACCAACTGAAGGTCCTTGGGCAAAATCCATAACCTGTCTGTCAGAGCCTCAGTCTCCTCTCCCATAAAATGGGATAATAACATGCCCACCTTACAGACTTCCCATGAGAGTCAAGGAGAGAATGTAGACCAAGCCCTAACACATGGCAGGTGCTGCGGACGTGTTTGCTATTTTAGGATCAAGAAACAGAACTGTGTTCTAATATAGGGAGTAGGAAAAGCAACGTGTGCAAGAATAACAGTGTCCTGAAGTTGCCCAATCTCCTCGTGAGGAAGAGAAAGTAAGGTCTTTGTCACTGAATATCCAGGAGGCAGTTAAGCGATCATCAAGCATAACTGTTTACTTTACTGTGCAAACTGCTTCAATCAAAACAAAACAAAACAAAATAGAAACGAAGTCCCAGGGAAGCAGGCCCTCTTAATTTTGAAATGAGGTTTTTGCTTCACAAGGCCTGTGCACGTGCACGCCCTCGGAGACAGGTAGGGACAAGTTATAGTGTCAGGGTCAAGAGCACAGGCCATGGAGTCAGCCAGCCAGACATCTCTCCCCTCCAAGACCAATGAGGTCCTGAGCTGGTCCTTCCCTTTTCTCACGTGTACAATGGGAACGATGACATCTAGGGCTGCTTATCTGACTAAAACATAAGCTGAGAATTTGGATCTTGGTTGATCAACCAGAAGCCACCCTCTTCTTCCTTCTTCCTTCTTCCTTCTCCTTCTTCTCTTTTTTTTTTTTTTAGGAAACCAGTTCCAATGCACTGATGTCATAGGGTGGCTCAAAGGATGAAATAAAACCACATGTGCAGTACCTGGCACACAGGAGTCAATGGGTAGTTCCTAAAATGATCCCAATAGCATTATCCCCAGGGTCTGTCCCAGGACCCTGAGATTAAGCAGCTACTTAACAGCAGAGAAGGACACAACCTCTGGGACAATCTGTATCGAAGCACAGGTTTCATGGGGATTCTGCTCAAACTGTGGCGCAGCAGGAAGGAAGACTTGCTAGAGGTCCCCAAGCTCGTCAGGAATGCTGCAGGGCACAGCAGCGGGCCCTCCGCTTGGTAGCTATTAATTCAGAGACTGCATGTACGAACCTGCTCAAGTGCTGCAAAGAGCTAGCTCATCAACCTGGAAGGAAATGCAACCTCTCAGGTCAAAGAAGAGGCCTGGACTTCTGGTGACATTCCCTGGTCATCGTGCTTCTTGGTCAGTCTAAGGTTAGGAGCTGGTGGCCGTCTGCACTATTTTACTGGTTCCTTTGCAATTACTTTGGGATGAAAAACAAACTGGGAATTGACATTCAAGGATGTTTTTCTGATCATGGGTTCCCTACTAAGTCTCAGAAGTTGGCTTGAGCCAAAGTTGGCTGTGGGCTCCCTATCACCTCCTGTCCACTTGTACTCGTTCTTATTTTGTACCAGATTCTTTGCAAAGACTGTGCTAAGCCTGGAGTTCAGTGCGGACCAGGAGGGGTGAGAAGTGGGCACAGCGCACTTGCAAAACACACCAGGGGGCAGCTGTGCTGAGGCTGACGGAGCTGCTCCTGAGTGGGTTCAAAGAGAAAAGGTGCTGTGTGCAAGGGGAGGTGTGGGAGCCGAAGCGCCTCTTACACAGCCCTCATCCATCGCCCACCGGCAGCCAAGCCAGTGGGCTGAATTCCTTCTCTAGTATTTGGCAACTTCTGAGCATAGTGGAAAGTGCAAAGGAGTGTGAAGTACGGCAGATTTCAAAAACGGGCAAACTTGAAAGCCCTGGGACCCAGAGGTCGGCTCTGCAAAGGGGAATACACACTGCAAAGCTATCCTCCTCCCGGCTGCAGAACCACAGGTTGACCACCTTCAACCTGCTCACCACCATTGCACAGGAAAGGCGCTGGGATGCTATACATAGTGCGAGTTAACCCACCAACTCCAGTTTTATCCAGGCAGGAGAATTTTCCTAATCTGCATATTTTGACTTTTTTTAAGGTGTATTTTATTGATTTCAGAGAGGAAGGAAGAAGGAGAGAGAGAGAGAGAGAGAGAGAGAGAGAGAGAATCATCAATGATGAGAGAGAATCATTGATCGGCTGCCTCCTGCATATCCCCCACTGGGGATCAAGCCTGAAATCTGGGCATATGCCCTTGACCAGAATCGAACCTGGGACCCTTCAGTCTGCAGGCCGACGCTCTATCCACTGAGCCAAACCGGCTGGGGCCGTATTTTGACTTTTTGCCACAAACATTCTTGTTGGGTTCCCATTTCTCCAACATCTTAGGAGAGCTCTTTGTGCACTTTAAATATGAATGATAAGAACATGAGCTTTTTGCCTGAAGGCAGCAGCTGCACTCACAGGACTGGGGAGCTGAAAACACAGAACTGCCTTTACCTGGGCAGTGCTGACCGCTGGAGAATTACGTGCAGTGAGTAAAGTGTTTTCAACTTACCTGCATCTCGGTCCCTGATACAGTAGTCTGGAGAATTCTCAAAATACACGAGGTCATTTTTCGTTGGCTTCTTAAACCTCTTGTTGGCCACAGTGAAGCCAGTGCCGTCCTGGTTCATGACCACCTGGATGGCCCCGTTGTACTTCTTCCACAGGTAGTCGCCCGTCCTCCTGAAGTCGGCCATGGCCAGCCAGCACGTCCTCAGCGTACAGGAACCGCTCACACCGTGGCACTTGCACTCTTGCTTCAAGAACCGCTTCACAGCCTGTGGGGAAAGACAGGCTGTCCAATGGAAGTGGACTCAAGTGCGTGACATGTGCTACAACTTCCCGAACAACAGGAAGTGACTGCAGACACAGGATCCCGGGGTTAGGACGGGGAGACGTCTGTGGTCACTTGCTGGTCATGTCAGCCACACTGCACTGACCGCATAGCATACAGGGAGGTGGGGAGGGGGAGGCATGGCCTGGCTCTGAGCCCCATTAGGCTACCTGTATGTCAAAAACTGCACTCATTTGAATTTAATAGGGAAAGGGGCCAGTTTGAAGAGTAAGGCAATGAATTAGAGGATTCTGTAAATAAATATAGCTGTATTCTATTTAAAAATGTATGCTATTATGCAAATTTGGTGGACAAACTAATTGCTAAGTCCGCATCACTTACTAAACCGAGACTAACGATTGCTACTATTTATGGGTGCTCTGCGTGTTCCAGGCATTGCGCTAAGGCAACAGTTCTCAACCTGTGGGTCGCGACCCCTTGGGCGGTCGAACGACCCTTTCACAGGGGTCGCCTAAGACCATCCTGCATATCAGATATTTACATTACGATTCATAACAGTAGCAACATTACAGTTATGAAGTAGCAACGAAAATAATTTTATGGTTGGGTCACAACATGAGGAACTGTATTTAAAGGGCCAGAGGGTTGAGAACCACTGCGCTAAGGCCTTCTACACTCTATCTCAGTGACCTTGATCTTCACAACAATCCTACGCTACCTACTGTCCTTATATTTCACACCTTAGGAGGGGAAGCTCCTGGACAGGTGGGAGCAGAGGGGGCAGAGTTGGGGAGCCAAGATGGCCCTCCTAGGGTTATGTCTGTAGCCAACGCCTGCCCATCCAGGGCACCCAGTGAGCCTCATACCAAACACCCAGATATAAAGATATGAGGGTGAGGGCATATCGGGGAGTTGGAGTTCCAGAAAAGTTCATTCTGACATCCTTAAAAAACGCCCAGGTCTTTGTGACCTGGCGTACCAAACTAAAGCCATTCCTCCTTTTCAAAGTCTCTGTCCTGGCCTCCAACGCTGCCTCGTGATGACAAGGACAGATTCCAGATGTCACAGGGCTCCATCTGCCTGCTATGACGAGCTAAGGAGGGAAACACCTCGGTGATCAGCCCAAACTGGGAGGGTGCGAGTGGATTAACAGCCATTCATTCTTGGCTCCTTCAGCTCCAGAATGATTTTGACACGTTTCCAAGCATGTGAATAAATTGGGACTGACTTCCTGGAATGAAGAACATTCCTGCACACTTGGTTCTAACTAGAGCCTTGGTCAGCAACTAAGTCTGTGGAACAGACAAACCAGGTTGGAGCACCAGGAGTAAGTCACCTGGGGTGAGGCCCTGGGAGGTAACCTGGGATATTGGTATCTGTGTGTGTTTGGGGGACAAGGTGGGGGGATAAAGGAGGGTTGAGCATGAGTGCTTCAGGGAGCCTCCCACTCATTCTCACACCCACACGGGTATAACGATATTATGCCAGAATCTCAGGAAGTAGGCAAAGCAGGCGTACAGCTACACCTCCAAGTTCTTAGAAATAATGTTCTCAACGTGTTACGCTAAGAATCTTGTTCAGAGTACCAGCTTGGAAAATGTCATCAAGGGGTTCCCTGGCCCTCTGTCTATACTCCCACACCAGATACCCTCCATCTTGGGGATCCAAATTGAAGAGGGGGACTGTGAACAGGGTGGTTTCTCCTCCTCTGCTCTACGATTGAGCCAAGGACGAAAGCCACAGTCCTGTGAGATCTCCAAGGCTGATCACCTCATAGCCCTTCTTCTTGTCATATTGCTTTGAGTGTCTGATGGGGACAGGCCCTAATTGTCAGTTGTGATCTCTCTCGAGCTTGGGAATTGATTATGAATGCTCATTCTTCGCAGCTTTTTCCTTTTAAAGCTGAGTTATTTACTCATAAGTTAACACTCCTAACTTAAATGATCGGATAGCCCTGGCCGGTGTAGCTCAGTTGGTTGGGTGTCGTCCTGTGCACCAAAAGGTCACCAGTTCCATTCCCACTCAGGGCACATGCCCAGGCTGTGGGTCTGATCCCCAGTCAGGGTGCACGTGGGAGGCAACCCATCAATGTTTTCCTCTCTCTCTCTCCCTTTCCTTTCCTCTCTCTAAAATCAATAAAAAATTTTTTAAAAATAACAAGATATAGCACTGCCCTTCCTTTGTAATGCTAAGTTCCCAGGTTGCAAACTTTAAAGTTGCTATTTTTATATGTTTAATTGGATGGTTTACATATTAATTTAAGATTGGATCTTAAAGATACACCTTATGAATCCTTAAAAATACATGTGGCGGTGGCACACACTGTTGATCATCACTCACTGATGAGTGGAAATAGCCGCTGCCCTCCTCCTTCTTCAGTTTTGTTAGGTGTTGGGCATGCTTCAGAGGTAGCCAGGTCTCTCCCTGACTCCAGAGCAGATCAAATCAATAAGGGGAATTTCATGGTCCTGCCACTGACTCTCCCAGCAGAGGGCATGGGACGATTCCATTTGGGCCAATGTAATGTCAGGAGTAGTCTGCCAGGGACTCGTAAGAAAGGTTTCTTCGCTCTAGTGAACATTTAAAATCTTAATATAAATGGCACCGTGCTTTTCTCAAGTTTTGAATTATGCATACTCTGCTTCCCTCCATTCTTTTGAATAAGTCAAGAATTAATGGGATAATATTACAGACCTATTATAATATGGAAAAAGAGGGAGAGGAATATGGGGGAGTACACTGCATCTTCCAGTCATCAAAAATCTATTAACCAGCCATTCACAGAAGAAACACAGAGTACAGTGGGGCCTTGACTTACGAGTGTCCCAACTAACGAGTTTTTTGAGATACCAGCTGTCTCTCGGCCGATTTTTTGCATTGAGTTGACAGAGTAATTTGAGTTAACGAGCTCCTTAACAAGCTCGGTCTCGGAACGAATTAAACTAGTAAGTCAAGGCCCCACTGTACTAACAAAAAGATGCTTAACTTCGCTAGTAATTAGAGAAATGCAAACTGAAACAATGCAAGATTAGCAGATTAGCATATAGTAAAAAGATTGACTATAAGAATGTTGGTGAGAGTATGGGGAAGGAGATACTTCAACGTGTAAAAAATGAATAAAATATATTTAAAAAAAAAAAGAATGTTGGTGAGAGTATGGGAAAGGAGATACTTCAACAAACTCTTGGTGGGAGAGTAAACTGCTGTGCCATTTAAATGGAGAGCATTTTTGCAACACTGTAAAAATTTTTGATCTACATATCCTTTAACCTTGGTGATTGCACTTTGGAAATATTTGCACAACTTCTGAGGAATTTACACCCACGTGAATGTTCACTGCAGCATAACTAGCAATAGCAAAGTATTAGGAAAAAACCCAAATGACATCAACAGGAAAATATGGTTAAGCACTTTATGGTGTCTGCTTAACAATGCAATATTATGTGGTCCTTGAATAGGTCTTTATTGCAGCCATAAAGGGAAGTCAAGTGATAGAAGCACAATGCAGAACAATACATGTGGCCTGGTCCACGTCTTACAGGCCTGCCTATGTGTATGTGCACAAAGAAGAAAGGGAGAGAGTGTTCTTTTACAGTCAGGCTGCAGTCTGAGGGGCTGCATGGTCTGGAAAAAGAGGGAAAAACAAAAAGTCCAACTATCTGCACAGTAAAATATATACAGGAATGTGGGGCTTGCTTCCTGGCACCTGCAGAGCGCAGAGCCCGCGTTCTCCTTCGGCTACACATTGGAATCAGCTGGGATGTTCCTAGCGCACACAGCTGCCTCTCCCTGGACGGAATACATTAGGAACTGGACTTGGGGGCAGGGCGGCCTTGCAGGTTCTTCGGCTCTCAGGTGCATTTTTTCTTCTTACTTGCATTGTTGAAAGTATTACAGAGTCGCTGTTTTTCCCTCCAATGACACCGCCCCCACCCCCATCCCTCCTTAGCTCCCCGCACCA